GAGGAAGACTAAACAGGAGTACAGTAGTTAGCGAATGTTATTGTATTCAAATTTTGGCAGATTAAAGTTGGCTGGAAAGCGTGAATCTGGAAGGGAATTTGACAAGTGAGAAGTTCAAGAGAAGAAATTGTTAGCATAGAATTTATGGTTACATCTAGCCAGCTCAACTGTAAATTGGTGAGACCTCATCACCAGCCTAGTAAATTCAAAGAGTCTAGGCACCATAGCAAAAAGCTCATCTGAACAATTAACATGTAAATATTTATAAAAAAGGGAAAAGAGGCAAACAGTGGGAAGGTGATTCTTCTTTGGATTTTTTCAAGAAGCTCAAGATAGGTAGCAGGAGTACAGGACCATATGTGTCAGTAATATTCTAAGTATGGATGAATGGTAGACTTATAGATATGTATGATAGATTCAGGAAAGAAAAACCGTCTAACACAACACAGTGAACCAAACTCCCTGGCAGCTGACCTAGCAATGGATTCAATATAGTCTTTCTACTTTGTCAGCCAAGAACATTAGCCCAAGAAGGTGCAGTGAGTCACTCTCCTGGAGGTTAGTATCAGCTATGCTGATGGAGGGCAGAGATGGTTCTCAGATGATTAATAGGGACCAGTTTTGTATTGGAAGCATTAAAATTATCAAGCCATCCTCTGCTCCAGTTAACAACAGACTGAACCATACAGGAACATCAGATGTAAGCGACGAATATAGACCAAACACTGAAAACACAAGTAAGGACAAACAAATTTCTGGGGATGCTGGGTAACACTCCTGCTTTAACTCAGACAGAAATATTCGGTATCACATGGCAATCACATCATATGATCAGTACAGCCACCAGCTCCTTCTCAGAAAATTTGCTTGCTTTTTTTTTTTTAGCCCCAAACATTTTTAACCTCTTAAAAAAATACCTGTGTATAGTGCGGCCCCCTATGTTCTGAATAAAAAATGGACCATAAAAAATTCACACTATACTTGAGTATATAACAGCTGTAACAGCAAAATTGTCCAATCGTGTAACAGCATAATTGTCCATTTGTTAGATTAAGCTTTGAACCGTTGTATCTTAGAAATGATTAAAGATATCTTACTGGAATTCTCCAACGTTTTTATAACACTATTGGAGCAATAAGAATGTATAATTATTCTCCAAGCATAACAGAAAAATTATGATGAAATCGATCATAAACGAAAATGACATGTTCATCATTAATTAATTATAGCTAAAGAACGGAAGCTTATAAATTATTGAAATAATGTTCAAATATATATATATATATATATATATATATATATATATATATATATAATTTCAGGATCATTTTCCAACTTGTTCAAAATGATCTTCGCCCTCTCTAACCTCCTAACTTTATATCCTGGGGTAACTAGGGTGCCTCACACGTTTCACGTACGATTTCATTTTAAAGTCTTTTTTTCACTGTGTGATACTATTTGTCGTTGCCATGGTAAAATGGAAGAAGGTGTTGTTGAAACAAAAGAAAGTGTTATGTGCTGACAGACATGGAAACAAGAAGAGTTAATACCAAAAGAACCCCTGGGGAAAAAATGAAGATTAAATTGATATATAAACGGCTTGAATTGTATGTTGAGCGGTTTGAACAATAGAAAAGTGACCCAGACTTGAGGGTCGATGTTTCATTGACACACAGCTGCAAAGCGGAAATTTCATTTTCGCTAAACAACTGATGTAAAGTCGATTCGAGACAGGAGTGGGGTTGGATAAGCCATCCACGCTCACTGAAATGAAAGATATATTGAGATGAGAGAATTGGGAGACTGGGAATTACCCGAAGTCATGACATAAACTGGAGGGGGATTCACCGAAATGTCCTTACCTCGCCAAGCCCGCATGCCAGTTTTTGGCAATGTCCATAAATACGAATGCGCGAAGCGAATTCGCCAGAAAGAGACGGACCGGAGACGAGACAGAAGAGAGGCCACGTGATTGATTGCGAAGAGAAGCTTCGACTTCAGCCTTGAGCCGAAATTTACCAAAACAGTAAACCAGATTTGTGCCAGGTAGTATCACTTCCGATTTAGATGCATGCTGGGCTGATAAGTAAATGCATGCGAACTCTGACATAAACCATTTATTGTATGGAGACTGTTATAAAATCAATATTTACTTTTGTTCAATTTATTCGTGTGTTATTTTTCTGTATGTCATCACTCTGCTTGGATCAGCCCAACACGATAATACCAGCGTCGATTTGATCTTGGCTGCCTTATGATCTAAAAACCACAACATGGGATAAGGTAGCTCTGGATTGAAGTGGTCATTTCAGTAGAAGTCTATATATATATATATATATATATATATATATATATATATATATATAGTTTATGAAAAACTAGGTAATCCGTATGGGTAGACTCAAGGAGGATAAAATTCAGAGAGCTCAATTTTAAATTTTTAAATTTCCTATTTTGGGATTTAGTGGATGTTTTATTATATATATATATATATATATATATATATATATATATATATATATATATGCGTGTGTGTGTGTGTGTGTGTGTGTGTATGTAGATCTATATTCATTACTAAGAATTACTTTGAGAAATAAGTTTTCATGTACTTCTTCCCCCACTGGGGTGTTTGCACGTTTGCATCTGCTCTTTGTACTGTCATAGCTGAAAATCCTTTCTCATGTGCCAAACGTCTTATGGATTGAGTTGGATCTTTTCTAATTGATCTCTTTAGCTCTAAGTTGAAATGATGATCCCTCTTCCTGCTGTGACTTGATCCAGTTTTCCTCTCTACTGTTCCCTCTTTTTTAACTTATTCACCGTTCTCTTGATGGTCCTTGAATGTACTTTGAAAATGGAAGCCAGAGTATGAATGTTAGTACCATTATTGAAGGCTTGAATGCTCTTTTTCCTCTCCTCATTGCTCATTTGTGAAGACAGCGGGGCTGACAAAAATGATTTTAACCTCTTCTCTTTCTAGCTGAATAACTCAAAGGCTTTTCAGTAAGTCTTATGACAAATGGTATCATGATAGGTAAATGTCTTATCTGAAAAACTTGGAAAAAAGAAACTCAATTACGTTAGTGTTTTTTTTTTTTAGATATTAAATATTTTGTGGGATGGACAATTATGCTGTAAAATGATTTGGACAATTTTTCTGTTACAGCCGCTATGTATAGTGGACTGAACGATTTTCTATAGCTACATATATTATTACCTGATGAGGCACAGTTAAATATTGAGAATGATAAGTAATGATAAAATAAAACAGTTATGATAATACGCAGTAATAAATGTTATGCAAATAATAAATGATTCATTTTTTATTAGAGGTTTGTAAAGATTACATGAAACAAGTTATGATCTGAAGGTGACTGGTTTTGAGAATATGCTATATAAGGAAAGACTTTCCAGGTCACCTCCGCAATTGCTTGCTGTAGGGTTATATAAGCAAGAAAAGTGGCTTGACCAGCAAGAAAATATTTGAAGGTGGCATTGAAAATGTGTCTAATTCTTGTTGTTTGCAGCGGAGCAGAAAACATAATGAAAGACATTACGCACCCCAGGTACCACTTGTTTGGATTTTGCCCACAGGACAACGTTTTAGTTCTGTTACTTCTAGGACAAAGTGCTTCAGGGACAGCTTTTAACTTTGAATATTGCGTTGTGTTTTTTTTTGGGGGGGGACTGTTGCACAGTGAGAAGAAGAATGAATAATTTCTTTTTTTTTTTTTAATTAAATTCATCCCAAGCAAGTCGATAATGTCACTAAGACACAAGAGGGCTACTGGGAGTGAAAGAGAATGAGAAGACTTTAGAAGGAACTGGAAATCTAATCCTAATCCTGATCTAATCCTAAACAAGAAACAAGAAACTCCTGTTCATAAGACTGGGAGGAGAGTGGACCGGGCGATAAGTGAACGTATCTGTTCCTATTGAGCAGTAAATAATAAATAAATAAATAAATGTCAATAAAAATGCACAATATTTAGAATATCAGCTGAGGACATAAAAACAATTAAACTACCACTTTTAAGTGTTCATCACAGAGAGAAATGTACAAATTGAGTGAAGAAGTACATGAAAACTTATTTCTCAAGAGTAATTTTAGTAATGAATATTGATCTACATATACACACACACACACATATATATGTATGTATAATATATATATATATATATATATATATATATATATATATATATATTGTTTTCTGACTGAGAAACCTAAATGGTTTAAGTGAGAAAAGAAAACACAAACTCCCATGTGAATATGGTAATGGTAATAATAACCGTTTCCCTATAATGAAACATTTGACATTCATTGACCGAACAGACAGTGCTACTTTCAGTTGAAATTTATATCTTTTTATTGAAACAAAACAGAACAGGGTTTAGGAGAAAACAAAATTTACTAAGAGCTGTAAAGGACAAGAAATTGTGGAGAGCCATGATCGCTAACGACCTGACGGGACATGGCACATAGAAGAAGTAGAAGCTTTAAGGTAACATAAATAATGACTGACACTGCTCCTGGTGTCTCTAGGCTCATTTAAAATATTTCTCTTTTGTTTTTTTTTTTTTGTTTTTTACGGAGGGGGTCACCCTGTACAAGGCCGGGGAGACACACGAGGTAGAGTGTTACACAGTAAGCGGTACACTTTATGTAGATAGGCGGGGGATGATAAAGGTTGATCCTAGACTTGAATAGGTTAAGATTGTAATGATCGGGAAAACAACTTCTTGGGAATTGGTTCCACAGAGCGGGAAAAATCTGCTTAAGTGGAACTTACTTCTCCCCAATGGAATACGGAGAGAATGAGGATGGTTCGCTATAATGTGTGTAGCCCCATTCTTGGGCCTAAGGTTCTACGTCGAGATTTACTGTGTTAAATCTTGTGCAAGGTGACTGCCACAGATCCACTTCCATAGCTACACTACCTCTTCAAAAAAATGTTTCACTATTTCTTCCCAATGTTGGAAGGCAAAAATTTGTAAAATTAAGTAAATTGAAAACTTACATAAGTAATCGCTTGCAGGATAACAGCTTCATAAACAACTGTCAGATGGGAAGAAAGATAAGTGTCTGTCGCCAAATCACCAAGGACCAGCCCGGTTAGCATGACGGAGACAATCTAGAATCAAAAGAAAAAAAGACATTTAAAGATTTAAAGTGTTGGAATTAGCTTTTTAAATGGAGGTTCTAAGCGGTGTAACAGTCATCAGCATAGAAAAAGAATCATCATATCAATTTCGAATTTCAGTTGAGGCATGATTCCAATTCTCTCTACGATTTGTCCTATCACAGAAGTCTTTACAAATTATTTCATCACTGGTATACAAAGACGGTTAACAGCAACAACAACAACAAAAGCCCATCAATAACAACAAAAAGCACACTAACAACAACAAAAAGAAGCATAATAACAATTGCAACAAAAAGCACATCAACAACAAAAAAGCACATCAACACCATAAACAAAAGGCACAACAATAACTTTTCTTTTACCAGAGATTTTTTTCACAGTAGTCAGCAGATTACAATTTGAGAGCGCTTGAGACTCTCTAAGTTTGGGAATCCTTCCCTCTGTAAGCAGAAGGAATGGTTTCTATGCCTTAAAATGTAACTATCTGTAATTTATATATTGCGTATTTTCTGCTTGTATTTTTCCTTCCCCTTTTTTAGTTGTTGTACACATATTTATTTTTGTCCTAGAATTTGTTTAGTTCCTAAAATTCAATAAAATATTAGAATGCTTGAAATATGTAAAATTTTATTACTGGGTAGTTAAAAAAATAAATAAAAAGGGTGTTTATGTTGCATCCGTCATGTAATTTTGTATCAATTATTATCTCTTACATAAATTTTTGCCAAACATCAAGCCGTTGATAAATATGTTAACACCTCATAAAAACATCCACCTCCATGTTAAAAAATGTTTTTTGGCTATATTTTAAACTAAAAGTAAGTAATATTTGTTTCAATTCAGATTACCGTATTTCATGGCATATAAGGCGCACTTTTTTTTACTAAAAATATCTTTTAAAATTCCCCTGCGTTTTATATGATATATGTACGTTTAAAATTCGAGATAGTCGGCCGAAATTAGCTACCTGGCAACTCCTGTTAGCTTAGACTTTTTAGAGTAACTTTCATATACCTATTGTCATTATTTAAAAGGCTATTATGCAGATTAAAAATGTTATCATTGATAATATTTATTATATTAATTTCATCACGTTTAATATTAGTACTATGTTTCATTAAGATTATATGCAATAAATTCAAATTATATATTTGTAAAATATATTTGTTTCATTCTTGCGATAACTTCTGGCTGCATTAGGAGAAAGGCAGTCAGAATTTTTATATCCTAATTATTCCAATAAGACGTTTACAAGACGTAGGTTGTACAGATCATATAAAGGATATAATAAAGTTTTTATAGGCTAAAGTTCTTTTTACCTTTTATTTTTCGTTTAATTGTAATCATGGTTTGTTTAGCCAAAATAATACCTCATAAATATAGCCTAGGCTGGTCAATTTACTAATAATTTTATCAATTTTACTAATTACTAATTTTTTTCTTGATTTGCCCTGCTGAAATTCGGGTGCGTCTTATACACCCATGCGTCTTATATGACGCCAGATATGGTAATTAAAATTTGAATGAGCTAATTTTAAAAAATCATGTTTTGGAAAATTATATTTTATTTTTGTGAGTTTTTTTTTTTTTTTTTTTTTTAATAAAGAGAATAACGTTCTGTTGATAGATTTGTCAATATGGACAATTTTGTTGATTGTACTGATAATCAAAAAAGAATCATTCCAATCAATTTAAATTCAGTTTGAAATACAGAAAAGCAAAAGACAGAAATATTAAATTTATTAGCTTGGAATTTAAACTAAAATAAAAACTTCAAGAAAGGTTTTTCATTTTTAAAATGCATTTGAAATCATAGGTATCAAATTTTTTGTAGATGGGTGGTGGTGCCTACCTACCTACCTATATATATATATATATATATATATATATATATATATATATCCAAGTATATGATTGGTGTATACGAAATAAATTCCAATAACCAACAATTACTATTCTTAAACGGGTGCTCAATACAGAGTAGAGCAGATATAATTATTTATTTAAAATTATAACATAAATATGTTATAAAATCACTTACGAAGGGTCGTTAATTAATTTGAAACTTTTAAAACCATTTATTTTACATTCAACATCATCACTTGATAAGACACCGGAGGTGTTGAAACAAAATGGCTATTTTTTTGTAGTGATTTTATAACATAGTTATGTTATAATTTTAAATAAATAATTATATATATATATATATATATATATATATATATATATATATATATATTATATATTCATGGACGTTTCATTAAATAATATAGACAGATGTTGTCTATTTATTTTCTGCAAGTTTTTTCATAACGTCTGATAAGTTTAATAACATTATCGTTGAACGAAGAAAGAAATTCACAATATCGATCCATATTTTTTAATACAATCTAACCTTTCGACTTACATAAGCCATTATCAAAGATGACAAATACACACAATATATATATATATATATATATATATATATTAAAGACATTTTTTTATGTTTAACGTTCTTTTTATAGATAGAAGTATTTACGTAAATGCTCTGTTTACAATAAACAGTATTAAATAACATTTACCGGCCTGAATGTCCGAAAATTTTCATAGAAAATATTCGTTCTTTGACATCCGAACCTGCATCCTATACGGAACCGTCATTTACGCTGACGTGTCTTACCGATCGGCCACAAAGAAGCGTTCGGTAGACATGGTCGAATTTACTCTTTGTGGCCGATCGGTAAGGCACGTCAGCGTAAATGACGGTTCCGTATAGGATGCAGGTTCGAATCCTGTCAAAGAACGAATATTTTCTATGAAAATTTCTCGGACATTCAGGCCGGTAAATGTTATTTAATACTGTTTATTATAAACAGAGCATTTACTTAAATACTTGTATCTATAAAAAGAATGTTAAACATAAAAATGTCTTTAATAAATTGTCGGACTTTGTCCAATTCTTAATGTATATATATATATTTATATATATGAACAAAAGTTTTGTACGATAGAATTTATATATGGCTTTGAAAAATGACGAAATGCTTTCTTTTAAAGTCACCCTTTTCGTCCAACACTTCTTCAGAAAGATTCATTGGAATAACAATAATCAAAATGGCGTAACTGAAAAAGTAAACATCGGGGTAAATAAGGAACCACGACTAAAATAAATTTATTACTGAAAAACAACAAATCGGTGTAAATATGCTCCTTTTGAGGGTAAAACAGAAAAAAAACCCCCCAGCAATGAGAAACAGAGAAGAAAGAAAGTTCTCCTGCCTGTACAACCTGGTCTATGAAGCTTGATGTAAACTGCAAAAAAACCGTAAGTATTTAACCAACCGAGCCCTTGAAGCACTCTGAACGTCCCATTAATATATTCGGAAGCGCAACCCGGGTTGTTAATCAGATCAAGTCCAATCGCAGACTCACAAACTGTTACTGTTACTGGCTCCATCCTGTCTTATATAAGCAGGCACGTATTGTCCAATCCGGGTTGCTTCACCCCACACAGTCACCGACATTTAAACTGATAAATCACGGAAGTACTTTGCAGCTTAGCAAAAGATGTGAACACCGGAACAGTATTAAATACAACACGTATCTTGACAAAATAAAAAAGTCACACACGTCAATATCCTATCAGCAAGTGTCTGACTCCTTCTACCCAACCATGGTAGTTTTAAATAAACTGGACAAAGACAAGGTAAAAAACTACAGGAGCCTTAAAACGCTTAATCTTACGTTTCACCGTACATTTAACAACATTTCTTGAATAACTATTATCCCGGAAAATATTGTAAATGTTCACCAATTCCTCCGCCAACCTACAAGGTGAACATATCATCAAAATACGGTGGAGTAAGGTAAAAATAAAATTAATCTTACTGAAATCTTACTGGACTTTGAGATTAAAGAATTCTAATTCAGTATAAGTGAACCAGCCCATCCAAAAAGGTTAACGCAGAATCACTCTTCACTTCCATAGTAAAGCGAAGCTTAAGATGAAAAGCCTCTCGCCTCTTCGAAAGATTTAAAAGCAGAACGTATCATCCACATAACGATCTATGGCCGCTTTCAAATAAATGATTTTCATTAAAAAAAAAACAACAAAATATTGGCCAAAATAAAACCGAAGGGGCTACCCATTGATATACCATCAATCGGGTATACATAATATTATTAAAACTAAATTCAACCCCTTCAGTTGCTAAATAAAATTTCCTGGAATACTAAGAGAACCGAGATAACTCCTATAAAGGGCATCAGTACAGACTAATCATGTCTTCTGAAGAGGAACATTTGTTGACAATAGCAAAAGAAACCATCAGCTTGTCCACCGAACACAAATTGGAATCTCCAATAAATTTAAAAAACCGAAACGAATTAGTGACGTAAAAAAAGAATACAAAGCTAAAACTGGCTGCAATAATTCAGCCAACCATTTTGCCAATTTGTGTTGTACCGAGCCCACCATGGATAAAATAGGTCTAAGACAGGGATGGGCAAACGACGGCCCGCGAAGCCACATGCAGCCCACCAAAAGAATTTATGCGGCCCGCCAAATGTTAATAAATTTGAAAGAGAAAGTTACCAAGCAACCCTAAATAATTTTTACAAGCAATTTGACGCCTAATTTTAACAAACTGATAAATGACTGCAGTCATATACATTATTCTCATTGAGTCATTGAGATCCTTCTGTTATTGAGTTTTACTTTGTCTTTCAAATAAATCTGCTTCATGTAAAGTTACTGCTTCAAAATAGCAATAAAATGTTTTTTTTCTTTAAACTGAATTACTTTGTTTTCAAATGAATCTGTGAAGTTTCTAATTTAAAATCTAAATTAATTTTTTTCTTTAAATTTAATTACTGTATATGTGTTTTATTTGAAGTTTCTACTTTAAAATATTAGTAAGAATTGTTTTTTATTTCTTTACGCAGATTTAATTTATTTTTCAAATAAATATGCTTTCTACTTTACAATATTAATTGATAAAAATAAT